CTCTCCTGAAACCATCCCCATTTAACGTGGATCTAATTAAAGAAGCCGCGCAGAGGGAACGGATCGCGAAAGAAAGAAACGTCGTCGAAAATGAGGGGTCGATGCCACGAGACGCGTTGAACCCGTGAAATATTCTCTACGCAGAGGGACAAGGTTGAACCTTGTGGTTTCAAACTGAATTTAAACTGCGCGTTTCAAAAAAACCTTGGTTTGAACCTCGTTTACCACCCGCCTTGTGAACGGGGCGAGCAAGTTTAATAAAGGTGGTGGCCGGGAGTGGAGAGGGGTGGTTGGCGCACCAACTTTCTTTCCCGAGGACTTTTAATCTTGTGATCCGTCGGTCCGTGCCAATCTCGAGTGGGGAGGGAGGGGAGGGCAGAGGGAGAAAAAGGCCGCGTTGTTTCGACGCAACGACGGCGACGGCGTTCGTGTTACGTGAAAACGCGCAACCCTCGCGCTGGCCATGGGCTTTGCCCGTCTTCGTACACGCGGCCCGATTAAATCGTCGGAGATATTCGTTCTATGTATGTACCTTCGAGACGAGAGATTTTAGAGGGAAGAGTTGTATATTTTCTGAAACCTTTTTATATATATATTTTGCGTTTTACGTTTGTTGGATTCGCGTCGATTTTGTCTTATCTTGTCGCTAATTGGAGAAGAGGGTCGATGATGTAAAATTTATATCCGATGAATATAATCTTTGATCATTTTTCACGTTCGAAATTTCGTTTCTCCAGAACTTGATGGACCTGTATGATTTGTACGTCGCATCGATATTGGATTTATGAATAGCCTGGACACGATTTCGTGAATTTGTGGCTGTGCGAAAAAAAATTGGAAATATTTCGAAAATTTGTGTTCGAATAATGTTTCGCGTGATGGATTGTTTTTTAAAACGAGCTGGATTCCCTTGCACGATAAATTATTAATATTATTGAAAAGATAAATGACAAGTTTGTAATTTATAAACCTCATTCTTTTTTTTTTTTTCGCAATTCAAAAATTTCATAAATTTACGTCGAACGTCGAATGGCTTATGATTCCTATGATTTATTTGAAGTATTATATTCGTTATCGTAGTATGGAAGAATTTATTAACTCTCTTTTTCATTTTTTCGTAAAATATCACTGACAAATTTTAATATCATTAAACATTGCACGAGAACTTTAATCGACGTAAAAATTATTTTCCCTAAACGTATCACGTTTCACGAGGGGACAATATTTCATACGCAACAATCTGATAATCATAATTCGTTCCTTAATACATCTATCTCTGAGAAGATGACTGCTTCGTTTTTGTTCCAATTACGAAGAACGCTTCTCGTGAAGTGAGAAAAAGAGAGAGAGAGAGAGAGAGCGTGATTCACGGTGACTCGTGTTTTCGTTAAGGAAACGAATATAAGTGTCGGAAAGATTATCGACTAGCGGAAGCTCCAATTGTAACAATTCTTCTCCTATTACCATTCATTCGTGGCTCATACCAAAAGAAGAATACACTCGGTATCAATTTGAGGAAAGGGTTAAACCAACGGATGTTTACAATTTCACGTTGTACACCGAGATTCTATATCAAGATCCCCGATTTCTCTCGAAATCGAGAGAAAATCGATAGTAAGGGATACCAAACGTCGGACAAAAACAGCCGAAACTCATTATCCAATCGTGGATTTTCATCATCGGACGTGGATTAACCGTGGAAACAATGGAGAATACGTAGTGTCTCCACTATCCGCAAGTGATTATCTCTCTCCAATCTCACTCCCTCGCGATATTTCCACGAAGGAAGGACGATGGATAAACGGTTGTATCGATTCTTCTTGGGGCGCATTCGTTTCCGGGCCGTGAGAGGAACGTTGCCACGCCACAGCCACCGCCAACCGTCGTTGCAACGTCGTTTCTCTCTTCCTGCGCGGAAGTGACGTAGGATGACAAATGAAACAGCCACAATGCTCGCGATCTTGAGCTTGATTTTATTCCTGGAAACATCCACTTTACACGTACCTCCTCGGATAAAAATACACCTGACGGAGGGAAGAATGGTAGTTGGTGCGAGAAGAAGAAGAAGAAAAAATATTTCGAATCCCTTTTTTATTCGAGAACGCTTCGAGTGAGCACAGGAAACTAGGGGAGGGGGAGATAAAGATGTCGTAATTGGAAAAAAAAAGGATGGGGACGATTCGTCCGGATACATGTCAAAGGAATATCAACACCGGTTGCATAAATATGTATACGCGTTATTTGCATCGCAAACGCGGCGCATATCTTTGTTCCCCCCTCTCCGATATCCCGAACGAACGCATCTCTGAGGGGGAGGGGTAAATTCGGCCAGCGAGGGAGAACGACATACCCATATTTCGGCATTTTGCCCACGTTCCCTCGAATCACATTTTAATGCAGGGATCGACGCATGGAATGCGCATCCTATCATCCTCTTTCGCCCTCCCTCCCTTCTCCTTCCTCGATTAGAACCCCTGGGATCACCACCCTCCTTCCATCAGGAAGGTTCCTTCCTACGAAGGAAGACACGAAAGGTGTCGATCTCGGTTTCTTCTGCCCGGGATCTTCTTCGCCGAGGGAAAGAATTCGACAATCGACGAAGAAACGATACCACCCTTATTTCTTCTGCGCACACGTCATCGTGATACCTGCAAACCCCGCCAAGGCCCATTAACGGCCGAGAACGAGGGACTTGGAATATCTTCGTATCTTCCGACTCGAAGATACCTCGTTTAAGCCTCGACATCGCCGATCGGAGATCGTAAAACGTTGGCGGGAATGGAGGGGTTGGCTCGTTTCACGGCTTCATTAAGGCGCCGTTACGAGGGGGAGGAGGAGAAGGAGGAAAAGGGATAGCGAGAACAAAGTGAACACCGACCGCGATAAACCGTGCCGATTTATGAATATCGCGAGACCCTTAACGATCGTTGCTAATCATCTCTTTTAGGGATGGAGGGAGGAGGAAGGAAGATATAGGTTCTCTTTATATCTAAGAGGGAAGGAGGCGCGATTACAACCGCGAATTCGAAGAGCTGGGATATAACGATGGGAATCGTGGGAGGGAATAAAATAAACCGCTTGCGGTTTTAGAGTGGCGTTTAGCCTGGTTTAGCAGATGGAGATAGATGTTTGTTCGAGAGAGAGAGAGAGAGAGAGAGAGATGGGGGATGTTTGGCGAGAAATTGGGATAAATTTATACGTTATACGTTGGAGGAAATTTTCGCGAGTTTCTGGATCGATATAATATTTAAATATGGATGAAAAGAATCGGTGGGATGAATTTATGGTTATTGTCGAAGTGAGAGAGGATGTGGATATATGTACAAGTGAAGAGTGGAATGAATCGAAGAAGGGTATTTTGAACGATACCAGAAAAATATTTCTCTTAATTCGATATCGTAGCTCGTTATATATTTTCAAAAGATTATCCGAAATATCTTGTTTCACTTGTGAACAAGAAACGGAATAATGTTATGAATTGGAACGAATATCCGGTAAAAACATTGTCGTTGCACACGAGTCATGTGATCGTGAAATTTGAAATAATAATAGAGAATCGGTGACACGGTTCAATGGAAAAAATTGTTGCAGTTTTGTCAATATTGGAAAACAAAAAAAAAAAAATTATTTCGCGAATTTTTTGCCCATTGTACATCGTCGGGAATCCGAAATTACTTTGCATCGTTTTATGAAATTCGCAGAGAAAACAAGATTAAAATTTAGAAGAAGAAAATAGAAATAGAGAAAAATTGGAATTAACATTTGCAATTTTCAATTTCGAATTATCCTGAAATCAATAATCTTCTTCTTTCCAAAATTAAACTTTGTCCAAATTACTTCAATCGGTATCTCGCTTTATACTTTGTTTACATTTCTTAAAAGAAGTAACTTTTTATAGCAAAATATAAATCATTAAACAATATTGACTATTACTTTTCTCTTCTCTTCTTTTCTGCCTCTGCCCCCATTATTGGACAAAATTGGCAATTTTACAACACTTGGTCGAATCGTAAAAATTGGAATTTAGCGATTTCGCGTAAAAATCAGCGTTTAAAGTACGTTTATGTTTCCAGCAGCAAAGCAATTCGAAAGGTGGTAAGGTACGCAAAATTTTCTAGTTTAGGGAAAAAAAATCGTTTTTACACGGCAAACACGTAGCAATTTCGATAGCAGATATCTCGTGGCGCACGCGCGCCAACTTCAATTAGCGGTCGCTGGCAATTAACAATGTACACGGTACTCGTTCGCCGTGGCCGAAAATTCGGAGGAACAGCGGATACGCCGTGAATTAACGATTAAACCGATCGAACCGCCCCTATCACCTCCGTTTCCCTCCCCTTCCTACCCTCCCCACTGCATTGCCGCAGATTTATCTTCCCGCATTTTTCCCATCGCGGAAAAATTTCGCGGCGCGCGAGAAAAACAGGGGAAACGGCGAATTTCATTCGATATTTCCAACACGCTTTTTCACTACTCCCTCCTCCTCTCCGTCCACAAATAGGCAAAATCCTATTTCCTTGATCATCCTGTCGCTAATTACTCGATAATTTCCCCACCTTTGTGCACAACCGATAAATCGAGAAATTTATCGATGTTCCATAAAATGCGATGCGATTCGAGGACAGCGATTCGAATAATTAATGGGTCTCTCTTTTTTCTTTTTTTTTTTTTTTCCTTTTTTCCAACGGGATCCTCGTTAAAAGAATACGATCCGTTTGTACGATCAATTTAGAAATTTTTCTCGAACAAGATTTTTTATCGTCCCCACGATTTTCACTTTATACCAACGAAGATTAAGTTAATAGATATTATCCATCGATTGAACTCCGTCACTAAACTTATCCCAAAATCGGTTTCCCATTCCTAATGGAACATTCACGATACGAGAATCTTATATTTCTATTCGCAAATTCAAAAGAATTCGAAGACAAGGATAGTTTCCATTTTCCCCTCCCTCCTTCAATCGACACCTCAAATCATCGAAATCGTTAATTTCGCAGGGAAGGAGGAACAACCGCGAGTACACCCGCAATTACAATCATCCCAAGAATCCGGCGTATCTTGGAGGGAGGAGCAAGGAAGGAAGAAGGGATCTACCTGGCCTCGAGCAGCACTTCTTCCACCCCCGCGAAAGGAACAATCGATGGAATCGACGTAGAATCCACTCCACACGAAGGTGAAGGCGCCAACCAGCGCCTCCTCCTCCTCCTCGCACGGTTAGCGATGAGAATGAGCGTCGTGCGCGAAACAACGTTCGATCACCGCTCGCCTGGAAAGTAGACGATGCCCCACAACCTCTCCTCCCGTCGTTCCCCTGTGTTCGTGCTCGCCCCGTTCAATCGAGGACCCCGCACGAGTGGGTGAGTTGGGGGGGCGATCGCGGCCAGCAATCATGCCGATCGAACTAGAGGCCAATCGTCACTAGAAGCGGATTACGATGGCCAGCACGACGGGGACGATTCGCCTTGGTGCTCGCGCGTGCTAGTGACTTGCCAGTGTCAAAGTGGAATTATACTGGTGTGGATCGGGATGCCTGTGCGACGGGTCGTTATCTTCTCCCCCCACGCGTTCTCCTCGATGGGTAAGTAAGCTGTTTGCAGCGTTTTCGAAATCGAAAATTATCTCGATCTTGAAACGCGTAACTGTAATCTCCCTCTCCTAGATTAATTTACCCTCGATATCCTTCCATCTGTGATTAATGATCTCGATCGTGCGTCAACCCCGATCATTCATCCCCCCCGTTTTATCGTAGCCTCTTCGTGGATATCGATGGATAGATAGATTGCTCGACACGGTGCTTCGATTTCCATTTTTTTTTTTTTTTTGCGCGAGTGATGCTCGAAAGGGGAGGCTTGTAAATAGTTGGAAATATTGTTAATTGTTTTTTTTCTGTTAATAAGTGTGTATAGATATCGTGGAAAATATATCGAAAATCGATTGAATGTTGCGATCGTGTCGAGATCGTTTGTTTGAAAACAGGTTATTGAAGCTAAACAATGAAACTGGGGATATATATATGATTTATAATATATATATTAATAAATGATGAATAGTATGAAATTTGCAAAGAATTGGTGCAATTCCATTTTGTTCGATAATTATTTCATGAATCGAACGACGATTTTGATTTTTAGATTTTTAAATGTTCGAAACATTATACAGCGACGACATCTATTTACGATTTAGGAAGCGTGTCGAGAGATGAGAAAGATTGCGATCCCTGCATTCTCAAACGCGCGCCTCCTTTGTTTCCTGGCCGTTCTGCTTTACTTTGACGGAGCTTAATCCGTTTATATATCCGCGAGGTGGGCTGTATCGGGAAGGAAACGGGTGAAAATTTTCAATCGGCCGATCGACCGTCCATTTGCCGGATAAATTGTTTTCCCTTTGTTTGCGAATTCCCGCCTGAATTTTTCGCGTTCCCCCGTCAGCCCGAATAAGGCTAAAATCTCTCTTTGCGCCAGCTTGTTTTTCGCCATCACCTGCGCTTTTTCCCCATCTGCAACCACTGCGGCTAAGTGCGTTTGACGCGGAGGGGAAAAAAAAGAGAAGAGGAAAATGTGAATCGCATCGAAAACGCATCCCCCCCATTTTCGATTCTACGTTCTGAGAAGAAGAAAAAGAAGAAGAAGAAGAAGAGTTTAATAAACAACGAAACATAAAATGTAAACGACTTTTCGCGAATGAGACTTCTCATAAATGGCAGTTTAGATTTTTACTCTATTGGATTTAATTTTTTTCCTTCCAAAGGAAAAATATCGATCATATTTATAAATAAGAAAGGAAGAGGAAAAGATGTAGTAAGAGAAAAATGAAAATAAAAAAACGAAACAGGTTTCAACGTTGTCAACAATTTTGAGAATACATCGAGAAAATTTAAAATAAAATTACCTACGCCCTGAGAACGGGCGAAGAACATTTTCACGCTTCATCCTCCCGAAACCTTGAAAGATTAAAGTTCTACCGGAATAAGAATAATTATCTCGTTCCTCCCCTTACGCTACACTTGCACGCGACTTCCAACTTTCGAGTCGATTGAAACGTTGCCCTTTCTCTCTGAAAATGATCCAGGATATGGTGTAAAGGTAAAATTCAAGGGATGTATTAAACACACGGTCGGCCGAAGGGAACGAAATCGAGCGGAGACTCAAAGGGGAGACGCGCGACAACATCGAGGAGGAAAGTACGGGCATGCATCAAAGTGTCGGAAATTGTTTTACATTTTACTACGTTCGCGGATCACACGGCCCGATCGAGAGCACGTAATCACACTTCGCACACGTGACAAACGCTATTTGTCTTCAAACTTTCTCGCCCTCTCCGCGAATGCATGCGCCAACTTATCCACCCTCCTCCCTCCTCTCCCTCCTATCCCACCCTCGAGCCCACTTTCGAACGAAACCAAGCCAATCCCTCCCCCAAGTGGAGGAAAACGAATTCGCTATGAAATACCAATCACTCTTTCGTCTATTTGTATAAAAGCTACTATAGGTAGAGGAAAGAGAGAAAAAGAGAAAGAGAGAGAGAGAATTCCAACATTTTATTTTTTAAAAATGAAAATTTCTAATCGAAACTTTGCGATTATGCGGGGCACACAATGCGAGGGTTGTTTGTATGCGAAGCTATTCTTTTTTTTTTTTATCGAAATATCATTTTAAACGGGTGAGAGTCAATGCTGCTTAGAATTTCGAAGCATTTTCGTTCTTTTTTTTTTTTTTTTTTTTTTTTTTAATGTAACAATATGGCGGCAGATAGAATGAAATTTTACATTTCAAAATGTTCGGAGTTTAATGCTTTATTATTGTGTTCGAGGGAGGGGAAGGGGGGATTTGATGAAATTTGACAAAATGTTGAAAACTGTGTTGAATTGGTTGATTCCCCTGAAAAAGATTTCTCCGCAAAAAAAAAAAAAAAAAAATAAATAAAAATCATTCTATGCGTAATCTATTGCGAGCTGCGTAGTACGTACAAATTTTCATTAAAATCGTAATTTTTGAGTTAGATGAATTTCCTTGTAAAATAGCGAGTCACTGTATATCGTGCTGTTGTTAATTTGAACGAATGGCAAACGCGACATTACAAATTTTTTTCGCGAGAAATAATTCGTCCTATATACGATAATTAATTAATTTTAGCAGTACAGCCTTTTTTTTTATTAAGTTTTATAAGATAAGAGAAATGGACTACCTTTTTCAACGCTGAATTATGTTCACAAGTGGAAGTGGAAAAAAATATAAAACTCTTTGGTTATGATGCGATGATAGTATATCGAGTGAACTTATAACTAACAATGCTCGATTCGATGCAAAATTGAATATTTTGGGGAAGGAAAAATATTCTTCCTTTTTCTTTTTTTTTTCTTTTAAACTCATACGATGTTAATTGAATCAAATAAATGCGATAGATAGATTGTTATAGGAAAACGATATACACGCGTATTCTTTTTAAGGAAAGATGTTAATTTAACAACATATTTTTATCGCACAACAATTGATATATTATTTTTCCAATTTCATCCTTTCCGCTCCAATTAATTTAAAAATTTTTTTTTTACATTATAGGTAGTTACAATATTTCATTCGATCATTTGTTCTGCTCTATCAGTGTTCCTTCTCTTACACTCTCGATACGCTCTTTCTCATCTCAAGATTCGTTGCAATTGTCACATTGCGTTTCGAATTTAGCGATCCAATTAACCTCTATTGATCCAATTATCCCATTTAAGTTAAGAGTTAGATGTTGCCAAAGACGGTATTATTTAACAAACATTAAATTGACAAGAATATTATACTTTGTGGAGGAAAATTTAATAAAACACCACTTGCCTTGCTAAAAACGAGAAATTTTTAATTCAAATTGAGAAAATGAAATGACAAAAAACGTTAACGATCGCGATATGAAATAAATAATTCGAAGGTAATCCCAGAATTTACTCTAAATGCACAAATATATTTAATTACAACAATTAAAAATTCTTTCATTTCCAACGTAGGATATTTATTAATCTTCTTGATCCTTCCAAAAACGATTCTCCTACCATTATTTTTATAGATCATTAATACGTCGTGACTTGTACTCGAAATCGATTGGCCGAAATTCGTGGAAACCGATTAAAAAAGGAGAAGCGAACGGTTTCATCGTGTTGTATCAATCCTCGTCAAATTTACCGATAGCAGAATATTCTTCGATTAATTGTCACCGATTACACCGTTATAAATACGATACGATTCGTGCCGTATAAACGATCGACGCCGTATTACTCGGCTCGAATTCCACGGAAAACAGAGGGAATTCGCTTATTTAACCAAATTCACGTCGATGCCAGAATCGAGATAACGCTCGTATTTCGCGGTCGGAACGAAATAGCTAATTAAATTCTTTCCACGAGCCGAGTTTCGCGGGTCTTCCTCCGAATAATTCATAAACGAAGAAGATTTTTCTTTCGAAAGCTGGAGGGTGGTAAAAAATCGAATGCAGCTCGTAACTTATCGCAAAATATCGTCCAAAATATCCCCAATTCTCGCCGATAAATGTACACAGGGAAACGTGTACACGTTAAAAGAAAATATCTCCATAGAAAAGGAATTTTAACGACGAAATTTCCCCCGAAACCGATTTCCATCTCGAATCTCGTCCACCGTGTACTTCTCGTTCAATTTTTGTAATAAATATGTAAATAATTTTTTATCATTACACGTTAAAACATTGTGTTAAAAAAAAATTGTTCTCCTCTGTTTATCCGTGGTACATAAATCAACGCGATTTCATAGAAGGGAAATAAATAATCCCTGCTATTTATTTTTCGCGTAATAATATTCATCCCGGAATTTTAACACGGAGATTAAACAACCGTTACGGTCGAAAAACAAATTCGAAACGATTTCATGGTCACGAGACCCGAAAGGCAATTAGAAAATTAGCAGATAATCCAGAGTTACGAAGCGAGCCTTCCTTTCCTCCTCTTCGTACCAAATCTCTCGCCTCGCGACAAAATAACGACTCCTCCCTCCCGTAATTGAATAAATAGTTCGCCGAGTGCGAACAAGTCGTAGTTCCCTTTTCTGCAAATAATTGACTCCCGTCAATATTTGCGCCACGTTCACAAATTCATTCCTCTTCCTACGAAAATATATACCGGGTTCGAGGCGGCGAAACCTCGGAATTTCGAGACCGCGAAATTCGCAAAATTTCAGAAAAAGATAAAAATTTCACTATAAAAAAAACCACCCTCTTTCGATCGCCTCGAAGATGGCGAAAAGGGGGTGCGATTAATTAAATTAATTGCAACGGAATGCCGGAAGATCGGAAGATTTCCCCGGGGGACGCGTTTCCAACGGTCCATCCACGAGACAGAGATATTTGCCGGCCACTCGAAAGCGCGCCGCACTTTTGGTACACGGCCAAAGAAGACGTCCACTTTTTCGCGGAAGACATCGCCATCCCGATGCGTATTTACGTGTATATAAATTATCCAACGTGAAGGGCGCAAGATTTATACGTCTCTTTTACGCATTTTACGAAATACGACGAGCATACAACAGCGCCCTCCACCCCCGTGTTGTTTCGGACGAGGTTGGATTA